TCTCTCTCTCTCTCTCTCTCTCTCTTCTCTCTTAAGCAATGGCGGAGCCACCTCCAGCTAAAATTACACATGTCACCGCATTGCTAGTGGTGCCTCGGGGACAGGTCATCAGCGCCGCGCGCTATTATCAAGACGTCTTTGGTGCTGCCTTCATAGACAAATATGACGATGTCGTCGACATCGTTCACCAGGCTACGATAAAGATAGGAGCAACTACCTTTTACATCACTGATCAATATTCAAGAGACCTACCGGCGCCAAACCTTTGTATACGTTTAAAATGCCAGGATCCGAAATCTTTGAATGCGAGGATTTCTCGAGACGGATTCAGTTATGGTCAGAGACCGACGGCCAAGGATTTCTACGATGATGACGGATTGCTCGTTCGGAATGTCAAAGACAAATTTGGACATTCTTGGCAACTCGCCAAGAACAAAAGTGGTACGGTGTCGTTTTCTGTTTTGTTAGATTAGATCTCATACGCTTACGAATTTTATTTTCTATTATTAACTTTCATTTAGTTATTCTTGAACCATTTTTTTCTTTCTTATTGTTAGATCTGATATTTTATATGAATATGCTTAGAATTAGGAATTTTCTTTCTTAATTTTGTACTTAATTTTTTTTTACTATTATGAACTTTGATTTAGTTATTCTTGAAGCATTTTTTTTTTCCTATTGTTAGATCTAATATTTTATATGAATATGCTTAGGATTATGAATTTTCTTTCTTATTTTTCGTACTTATTATTTTTTTAAAATTTATATATCAAAGTCTGATATCTTTATTAAAATCTTTCTTTATTGTTAAATTTCGTAAAATATATTTTTATATTTTAATTTATATATTCGTTTTACTAGTTAATTAATTCTTAATTCCGATGGTCTCCACTCCACTGTTTATACATTTTTAATAATTCTGCATATTGCAATTGTTTCTGCTAATTTTAAAATAAAAGAAGTTTTCATTTTTTTAATTAATTTATTATTTATTAGAATATGTCGATCCAAGATTCCGGGATTGGACTGTTCGGTCGTATTCAATTGAACCGGTGAGAGTGACTCCGAACATGCTTGTGCCGGCACCCGAGGGTCGGCACGCGTTTGAGCTTTATGATAAGGCTTTTAGAGGTGAGCGTCGCTGCTACACCACCATTCCAGGGCCGGCGCAAGAGCAGCCTGTGGGTTGTTATCTAATCGACCTGGGTTCAAGCCATATTTTGGTAACAGATGATATGTAAGTATTTTGATATGTTCTTTGTAGTTTTTTTTTATTCTGTATTAGTTTCTTTCTTGTCTGTATTATTTATTCTGTAGTTTCATTAATTATTTTGTCATCAGGGAGGGTGGTACTCACTGTCGTCTTCAATTGGAGTTAGACAAGTCCTGTGACATTACAGAAGCAACGGACTTTGCGTTGGATATGGGATGCAAACTAGTAAGCGGCGTCAAAGAGGACCCACTGCGTCCCGGGGTGCTGATGGCCACCGTCGAGGATCGGTACAAATTTGTGTGGCAACTATGTCAGCCCCTGGGTAGGAAGAAAGATAGATTGTTTTAAAAAATTTATTTTATATAAGTTTATTAATATTGTCCTTAATTATTTAATTTGACTTTATACTTTTTCTCTGTAGGTGGTCTTGGGATTTGGAAAGAAGGTTTTTTAAGTGAGGAACGCTTTAAAGTTAGCTATATTTTTGAGGATCTTCGCACAATGCATTTGTCAAATAAGTTCCGATGCCGCATGCCAGATGTAAGGATGCAGGTTTTAAACAAAACGGATTACGACAAAAACAGCCGGAAATTCGATCTTGGACGTGAAGACATTATTGTAGTGGAGTTTATGTCAAGCAAGGTAAAAATTTATTATAAATCTTTAATTTAATTTATTAGTCTATTAAAAAAAATTATATATATCATTTTTTGGGTTTTGTTTTGTTTTGTTTTTGCACTGCAGGAAGTTGTGGACGATCTGAAGAAAAAAATTGGATTTCGAGGTCTAATAGTTGGCATAGTGAACGAAGCTACAGATATTTGCCCGATTGTACAGAGGGATATGATGGAGGAGTATGGTTGCCATGTGACGTTGGGCTTGTCCCTCCAAACCCACGATCTAACCCATGAAGCTGTTAGAGAAATATTCATTGCTGCTCTGGAGTTGAGGGAGAAGAGGACTGTTGGGCAAAGCACTGAGAGGGTACGTGCCATAGAATTCGTAAAGGGGCTGAGAACTACAGAGAATCAGATTGAGGAGGTGCAGGAGGAAGAGCCAGAGCCACAGAAGGAAGAGCCAAAGAGAAAGAGAAGACGGTGGAACAAATTAAGGAACAGACCGAAGAGGCACAAGCACTGATGGAGAAAGAAGAGGTTGAGAAGAATGACAAAGAGGCATAGACACACATACAAACCGGATGAACAAAAGCTGGGCAATATTTGAAGTGTCCTCACAAAGCGTTTTGGCTTTTGGATGATGCAGACCATTTAGTCTTGTTCTCATAAAAATGAATATTGTCAACTCTTTTTGTGGTCCATCTGATTCCCAATCCCAAGTTCCCAAAAATTTAATCTCAGATTTTTTTGTTTTGGTTTTCGTTTGCTATCTTTTTACACTTGTTTTCAAGAGAAAGAAAATATGGATTTGTATAGTGGTGGATAAAGCCTTTGTGATTCTTGAGCCACCACCACTTGCAGCGCATGTGGCTTTGTACAAGGGAATATTGTGTGCATGCGTTATCTGTTTTCTTTGCATGAGTATATGCTCTTCTCATTCCAATATTTTAGATTTTTGTGGTTCTAGAAAGAAAAGAATTTCATTGTACATACTTCAATGGTATGTTTCAGTTCGCTTGCAACCAAACACTGCTCTCAATGTGTGATTGAATTGTGCTTATTGATTTCCTTTTTGTGAAATTTAGGTAAAAAGAGAAGCTTTGGGGATCTTGAGGACGAAGAAGACGATTTTTTTGGCTCAAAACAGGTATTTTCCCATTCATTCCTGGCATTCTTTTTCGGAAATGTTGAACCTTTAGCCATTATATGTAAATGTGTCTGTGTATATCCATTCTTTCCTTACTGTTTAGGGTGGACCTTTAAGAAACAATGGTAAAGGCAAAATTATATTTTTCCTGCGTTCTCAATAATATGGGTGTAGAGCAGTGCGTTAATTTTAGAGAATAGTTTAGGTGAAGAACCAAAGTAATTATGTGTGGGGATTTGATGTGTATGTTAAACACTAGGTTCCATTTGTGTTAAAGAGGTTATGACTTTATAAAGGTACATATGTCAGATTTAGTGTGAGAAAAAACATAGTTTTAACTTTGAAGTATGTTAATGCACTTCAACAGAACAGTTATACTTGGGAAGTGATGTGGCAATTGTTGTCCAATGTCAAAAAATTATGTCAAAAAGTTTCAGATTCTACTATCAAAAGGGCAGATACTTCTAATAAGTTTCCTCTGATAAGCATGCATTGCCTTCCACAGATTCTTGCTTATATAAGAGATTTCTGTGCTATATACTCTCCTTTGTTCAGTTTTTGTTCCATTTAAGGAAAATCTAATGATATGTGTACAATGTAGGGTAACTCAAAACTTGAAGAAACTGCTCCCGGTGTAGCAACAGGAATGATTTTGTCTCTTCGTGAGAGGTAACTCAAAAGTTGAACAAACTTCTATACCACTGGAAATTATAATGCATTGAGTTTTCTTTAGGGCCTGATTTTTATATTTTTATTGCAATTCTTTTTGCAGTCTTCAAAACTGTAAAGATACTCTTGCAACATGCCAAGTATGTGTTAATCAACTTTTTTCCTTCTCTATATGTCTTCATTGTATTTCTTCAGTTAGTGAAATATCAATTATGTGATAATTTTTCAGTCAAGTGGGTAAAATATTTGACGCTTGTAGTTGTAATGATAAATATTAAATATTAAATTAACGTAATTTCGTCACAAGCTTGAAGAATTTCATAGCATTTGCTGATGCAATCACTACAGTCATACTTGTTATATGGTTTGGCCGCATTGTTAAATGCTCTGTTTGTTATTGGCTTATTTTCCTTGGTTGCAGACGGAACTTGAAGCTGCAAAATCTGAGATTCGAAAGTGGCATTCTTCATTTCAGAATGAACACTTCATAACTCCCGGAACTTCTCCTGGTTAGTCCCATACTTTCCTTTTAGGGTGTTTTGCTGCTTGGCCTGTCCTTGTTTTATTATGGAATGTGTTAAATTATATGTTCATCTTAGAGAATCAACTTATCTTCTGATCATTTTACATGCATCTACTTTATGTCCATTAAAAACTTGATTTCAACCTATCCTTGTAGATCCTAAATTGGTCATCAATTATCTTCAATCCCTGAAGAACTCCGAGGAATCGTTAAAAGAACAGGTTAGTGTTAAATGTTTCTTTTCACGAAGTCATCAGAAATCTTCTTCTTTTTGTTCATGGTGTGTTCTTATTTACAGTTAGAGAAAGCAAAGAAAAAGGAAGCCGCGTTTATTGTCACATTTGCAAAACGGGAGCAGGAGATAGCAGAGCTCAAGGTAATATCCTTTGCACATCTATTCCTTGTAAATTCAGTTTCTATGTGTTATATTATGTTCCTCTCTCATGTAATATAATAGCTTTATAGCATATTCACTTTTTTAAGTAGGAAGATTAATTCTATGTGACCATGAATACCCAACTTCTTGTTTAATGTACAGTCTGCAGTTCGGGATCTTAAAGCTCAACTGAAGCCACCATCAATGCAGGTAGCTTAAATATCCTTGAGTTAATTTCAATTTTTTTAGTTATAGAGTTTTTGAAATTTTGGACCAGGTGATAAATTTTCGAATTTTTGGTTTGGTTGTAAATTCTCTTTATGATTATCATTTCAACCTGATCTTCATTTTCTTGTGCTGATTAATTGTGCAGTCAAGAAGATTGTTACTTGATCCAGCAATTCATGAAGAGTTTACTCGTCTAAAGGTTTGTGTTCAAAACTTCGGAGTTCTATTTTGAAAGGTTTTACTAAGATCTATGGGTGTAATACCTGTATTTGTATTTTATAATACCAATATCCCCTTTCTTCTTCGGGGTATACAAAGAAATTATATGCCAAGTCAGAGAAATGCAAACAGAGGGAAGGGTCTCGTTATGTAGGAAGAAAGCAAAAGAGCTTGAAAAGGAAACAAATTAAGAAATACATCCCCTGCACCTGTTTGTATGAATTAGGGACAAGTTGATATTTGTCATGTAAAGTAATTTGAAGGCAATTGTGAAACTAGAAGTATTTTAGTTTTCCAAGTTTTCTCTATATTTATAGATAACTTATCTTTGCATTTAACCGTGGTGCATGATGTTAGAATTTGGTTGAGGAGAAGGAGAAAAAGGTGAAGGAGTTGAATGACAACATTGCTGCTGTTCAATTTACTCCTACAAGCAAGATGGGGAAGCAGTTAATGGCTAAATGTAGGACCCTGCAAGAGGAAAATGAGGAGATAGGCAATGAAGCTTCTGAGGGAAAGGTGCTGCTGTTGCATCCAAAATATTTCAGATGCTATTATATGCATTCAGTATCTTGTGTTAATTTTACCCTCAGCTATTATTTTCTCCTCAGTATCTTGTGTTTTTTTAAGATATTATAATACAGATTTTGGCACAAAAGTATGTTGCTGTTAGAACCAAATCAAACATAAACATCTTTGATGCGTTAATATATGCATGCTTACAAATAAACTGTCCTTGTTGTGTTTTCTAATAAATGTATGCACTCTTATTCTCTAGGAGGTTCTCGTCTGTTTGGTTATGTTATACACTGATGATCTGGTTTATATGATTTGCTATTGTTGGTCTGCAGATGCATGAATTATCTATGAAACTTGCTTTGCAAAAATCCCAAAATGCAGAACTGAGAAGTCAATTTGAAGGTCAGTGATAAATCAAGTGAAATTTTAGATATCTCTCAGATTAGTAAAATGTATATGCTAGATGGTACTTCTGCTGCCCTTGCGCAATATTATTTGGCATTGTATAAATATATTTTGTGTTTCTACATACAGGATTGCACAAACATATGGAGGGGCTCACAAATGACGTTGAAAGATCAAATGAAATGGTATTCTTCCCTTCCCTCAACTTTTGTTATTTATTAGTTTACACAAACATACATACTTCATCATAGTTTTAAAGATGTACTATTCAATGTTTTTTCTTTTGCTTTGTTTCAAAATATTGCTCAAGATATGCTGCTGTCTAATTTATCTATTACACAGTTAGTAGACCATTTGAATGAGAATCAGAATTTAAAGCATCTTCAACTGCAGGTGAGTATCATGCAGGAGCAGCTAGATGAGAGAGATTGTGAGATCAAACGGTTAAAGCAGGAGCTGGAGCAGAAGAGCTTAATAGAGGAGGAGAAAGCAGAGCCATCTTCTGATAGTAGGAAAGTCAGCGACGAAGTGATTGAGCCTGAGGAAGTCAACGCCTAAAAGAAGAAAAAGAGAAATTTGTAGGATATAATCATTTTTTGTATGTACATTTAACATTTGATTTGATTTTTCTTTTTGGTCAGAACATTTCTGTTCGGGAAAAATTAAATTTCGAAACTGAGTAGCTGGAGTTGAGGTTAAAAGTTTATAATGCTTGAGGCTGTCCGTTACCCCAAATTTATCATAGCTATAAACCCCATCATGGGTGCGGCAGTTGCATGGTTTCATTTCATGTCATTCATTCTTACAAAACTGAAATGGTTCTCGTTTCATAATGAATATACAGAATGCTGTTTGCACAAAATCTTGAAAGGTTGAGAGCCATGTTATGCACAAAATCCACATGCTCAAATCATCATGCCTTTGTTCCACCGTACATATATACACGCAGCATTATCAATGTTTAAGTCTTCCCTGAGACCACTCTAATTCAGGGATGCTTAAATCTTCCCTGAGGCCACCCTAATCCAGCATTGCCAATGTTGCTGTGTGCTTGAATAGGTTCAACTAATCCCTTCGTACTTTTGCCAAGTGCCTCTCCCTGCACACATACAAATCGAAGGAACAAAAGGTGAGCAGGGTTCCAAATTTGCAATTTCCACAAAAGTAAATAAATAAATGAGATAAAAAAGGCATAATTTGAGCCAGGAGATATTTGCCTGATATAAGTTTTAAACAGGTAAACCTCTCCTGTTTCAGTTTACATCTAACCGGATTTAATGGGCTGCTCTAGAATAGTATTAACAAATTAAAATTACCTCCTTCCAGCCCATGTTTTCTAAAAGTTTTCTGGCATAACTACCAACTCCAAATGACATGTTCAAGGCCTCTGCTGCAGCTTCTTCTGTAGAGCCTGGCGGCGAATCACTATCACCAATTAGTGAATTCTTTTGTCCTGGACCCACACCGAAACCACCATGCAAGGCTCTTCTATCAGCAGCTCTATCCCTATATGTATAGCTTTCATGCTGGCAAATTGACAGGAGAGAGTATCAGGGAAGTGCAGATTTGGATAGAAATGCATATATTCCTCAACATCTTATAACGGAATAAAACTACAAAGGGCTGCAACAGAACTGTAAGTGGTGCACCATACCATGCTGCACGTGCATATAGAAGAGTATAAGTAGATAACAGGTTATGCCACTCAACAAAAACTTATAGTAGTTTGGCATATTCAGGTACACATCTAGTATATTTGACACATAAATATAAAACTGATAGTATGATAGCATGAGGTTATCAATTGTTAGCCGGGCATTCATGACTGAACCATGTCCCTTGGACGTTGAAAGTTACTTGTTGATGTAAGGGTACTCTTATGTAGCATTGCTTGTGTCCCAGCTAAAACTTCAAAGCTTTACTTGGAGTTGGACTATTTATCAATTGAACTTAACAAGAGTACAGTTTCAACAATTGAACATGCCCAAGTTACCTTTTCATATATTTGGCCTGGCAACAAAGATGAATCCTTGCTAACTGCCACTCTTTCTGCAGTTATTGATTCACTGTTTACACTGGATTTAGAGAGGGGCAGAATTTGTGTGTTGACTGATAATTCAGGGAAGCCCCAATCTTTGGTTGGGTTGGAAGAATCATAAGTATCGTATACTGGGGCTCTGCAACGTATAGACTTGTCCTGAAAGAATACCAAAAATAAGTCACAGGTAACCATCAAATTTTGCTGTTGTTAACTAAAACAACATGCTTTCAGGCAGAACATAATACAAACACACAAAACACAAGTAGGTCTTATGTCTTCAAAATTTTTTATTTTATTTTTAAAAGGAAAAAATGTTGCCAAATGATAGAGGCAAATGCAAACCTGTTATAACTCGTACCAGATCAAGATGTACTTCACATATTGGAGCAGTTTTTAGAAGACCACCACCAGAAGGCATAGATGGATGAAGCTTAGCAGACTGCCTCACTAATCTCCCAACAAGCCTTGCTACCTCACCTTTTCCATCCTTTCTGGGCTTTGTGATCATTTCCCAGTCCCATAAACTTACAAGTGAGGACTCCGGGATTGAAACTTCTTCAGATTGAATGACCTGACCATATTGAGCTCGCCAGTTCTCTTCATCCAATGAAGCACCTGTGCCAAATATGCTTATATGTTTCATTATCTCTGCTATTGATGGGCCTCAATGATCAATTACATATATTTATACAGCAGAGTCAGGAAGACAAACCAAACATCCTACAGATAAAGTACATCCTACTTACTAAAACTAAAGTTGATATCTAGCCTCAAGAACTAGAAGCAAACATAGTAGCAAACCTTCATCATTAACATTTTCACTTGATTTAATTGCAGCATCATGGTCATCCGGAATCAATTTGCCTTCATTGAGCTCGTAACTATCATTGTTCCCTGCAACTCCACCAAACAAACCCATTTAAATCCTGCTCCAACCACAGCAATTATCTATCTAGAAACACATATGAGAATTCAGAACAAACCATTGGATCCAAACTCAACATCTGTTTCGGGGAACACTGTCATATCATCAGCAGCATTGGCTTCTAAGTTGGAATAACCAGACAAATAAAGATCAATAAGCGTATCTTCTAACCTAGAAAGAGGTATTGAAAAAAAAAGAGTTAGGAAAATATTTAACCAAACAATCAAATTAATAAGGAAGGCAATGCGAGAACCAGGATACCATTCTGAGGTGGGAGGGGGATTTTCAGGTACATCACTGCTACTGCAGCACTCTGTGGTGCCTGTTTACAAAAGAACTAGTTCACTGCTTTGAACTAAAGTAAAACAATACAAGTCTAAGACTTTGAAATATCAATGCTCCAATACTAGTAAAATCAATTTTGTAGTTTCAATCCAGAAGATGAGGATAATGTGCAGAACACTTGAAATGAAAGTGTGCGTCGTAATGCATATACAAATTTCAATACACATTGAGTTGCAAATTGCAATTATATGTACACACAAAAGCAATAGAAATTGCAATATCACACCTGAAATTCCAATGGGTTCCTGAGGAACAATTTCTATGCGTTCACTTTCATGTGCAAAAAGCTCTCTTTGAATGGGATTCTCAGAAGCAGTCACTTGGGTTTCACATGTTTCCAAATTATCAGCCTGAAAATAATATTTCCAACCAAACCAGAAATCACTCCACCTAATATCAAAGAGATAGAAGAAACATAAATTTCAAAATACCACCAACAACAATGATTTCAAATTTAATCAGCCCAAGACGCAAAGAGTGAAGAGAATGAAAAAGAAACCTGGTGAGAGGGAAGAAGCACGTAGTTTCCATCTTCGAATTTGTAGTAAAGACCGTCCCGAGTGCTATAGTACCAACCAGCGTTCGGGTCATGGTAAAATCCGCTACCGGCATGGAAATAAAGCTGAGAGCTTTCGTCCCAAACAAAGGCGTTGTGGGAGTCCTGGGAACCGGGTTCTGTGGCACTAGGACTCGGACCCTCCATTTGGTTTGCTCTATGCGTGCATGATCAGCAGAGACGCAGTAACGGGAAATTGGAGATTGCCAAAGACACTACCACAACGGTTTGCTAGCAACAACAGAGATTCAGTTCAGGGACCGCCTGCGTAACGCTGGTATGAATATGGACTTGGGCTTTATTTTGTCCCCCTGTATAGGTGAGCCATCTGTAATACTATTGGGCCATCCTTAAGCTCGTTAAACTAACAGGATTGCGCCGAGTCGGGCCATCCAATACTTCATGAATAGTTGGGGAGGCTTTTATATGCAACCTATTTGTAATATAATTTAATCTAGAGAGTTTCACTAAAACACCCAAAATGGAGGTTGAAATT